TTATTTAAAGCATGAGGACCCACCCTAAATCTGGGCTTCATCTTCTGGTGGCAGCCCACATAGATGGACTTGGAAGGATGCTGCTTTGTGCCTGCTTGTCCTCACTCTCGATGATTAGTTCTTGCTGGCAGGCTTAAATCCACTTCTTCAGGATTCCTTAGTAGACTGAAGACCAGCAGCTCTACAAGAATCATGCACAATTCCAGTGCCAAACTGGGACTGCCCAGACAACCAACCTTGTGGACTCAACAGCTACCTGAGCCTTTACGTCATAAAACAGCCATTGCTGGACTACTCAGACTACATCCTATAGTCCCATATATATATGGGAGTTCATTTTTATATATACATACATACACGTATATATAATCATATATATGTATATATAGGAGATTATATATATTCATTCTATCAGTTCTCTTTCTTTAGACTTGGAGTCAAATGGCCCAGGATTGAGCCTCAGCTGTTCCATTTCCAAACCCAATGTCTTGGACAGTTACTGAACCATATGCATCATATTTTGAATTCTGTAATCTACAGAGGAGGAATAAGCTCTGTGTTGGGGATTATGTCAGTAACTCTAGCTCTCAGGGAGGCTGAGGCAGGAGGATCACTACAATTCTGAGGCCAGCCTCAGCTACATAGTGAGCTCCAGGAAAGCCTAAGCTACAGAATAGAGCCTGGTTTGTTGGTTAAGAAAGAGGCGGAGCCTTTGACTCCACCAGTGACAGCTGGTAACAATAAGATGCTTGGGGTGTAGCTGAGGAGACCTCTGTGTGGTGGATACACCATAGACAACCTTAGGGACATTTCTGCTGGTAAGCCATGAACTCAAGGCAAATCAGGCTGTCCTGTGTACACACTGAGATCAAGGAATCCCCGTCTGCCATTATCTTAGCACATACTTCTCAAGCACCCACTAAGTACCAAGCACTGTGTGGGTCTCTAGGCATATAAGACTTATTTCCTCAACGGTTATATAGCATAAATACATTAGAATTTATGCTCAAAACATGTAACACAGCACATATTAGATGCTCAGGAAAGCTTGGCTGAGCAAAACTAATCATACTTTGTCGTATAACCATAGAATATAGCCACTAAAGAGGTGATTTTGGAAAAAAAAAAATTACCAATGCTACTCAGTTTATAATGTGATTAGGTTGGTATTCTAAGGTCTCTAGGAAAAAATAATATTTTCATTCAGAGTTTATCTAGTCATCCACCTATAATACTTACATACAGTGCTAATATGATGTTCTTCTACTTAAAATACTGATGTCACTTTTAACATGGTGTTATTAAAAATGTTATCTCGGGATTTTATTTAGAGACAGGGTTTCATAAACCTCAGGCTGGCCTCAAACTCCCTATAAGCTGATTGTAGCCTTGACCTTCTCCCCGACTCTCCTCCAGCTGGTGCTGGATTACATGGTACAAGCCTGAACCACCAAACACGGCTGCGTGCAGTGCTAGGGATCAAACCCAAGGCTTTGTGCATGCTAGGCAAGTACTCTCCCGACTGAGTCACATCCCTCATCCTCATACTAGTTTTTGTTTTGGTTGCTTTGTTGTTGAGACAAAGGTTTGCTACCTTCTCCATCTCCGGCGTGCTGGGATTACAAGTGTGTCTCACCATGTCCAGCTGCAGGATGATTATTCGTTACACGAAATGAAAAACGTTAGTAGAAAGAATGAAGCTTCCATAGGGCAAATCACAATGGATGCAGTGACCTGGATTGTATATTTACTAATACACAGATGCGCCCTGATTTGTCAGGCTATAGCAGTAAGTCCACATTTCATGTTTCTAACTGTGGAATGTCGCAACCTAGTCTCTCTTAACCATGTTCATAAGATGTATGTAACGGCAGTATCTACCGTGTAGCCGATTTTATAATAAAGCATTGATTACCTCTTCTAATTTAATAAATTAAATGTACCCAAAGTGAAAACAAACAGAATGGTTGTATAGGCATTCTTTCATAGCAGAGTAAAAAATTGTGAGGCTGGAAAGATGGCTCCTGGTTAAAAGCACTTGCTGCTCTTGCAAAGAACCAGGGAGGGTTTGGCTTCCAGCACTCATTTGGTGGCTCACAACCATCCATAACTCCAGTTCCAAAGGATCTGATGTCTTCTTCTGACTTCCACAGGTACCAGGCTGCCTATATGCATCCAGGCAAAACACCCATACACATAAAACAAACAAAGCTTAAAAAATTAGAATAAAAAATTATAGGCTAATTATCATCAGTTGGTGGTCTGTATAGTCCAGTAAATACAAAAGGGGAACCAGATATTGCCACACCCACTCCAGCGTCTGGTGTAGCATATCAATAGATAGCGCTACTCAGACTAAGAGATATGTGTCCTTCGGGATTATGCTCTCTGGAGGTCCCTGGCAGAAACCCCCCCCACCCCCAGCCTGGCAAAGAGACGCGTTCTGAGATTTCTACGCTTTTTTGGTTGCGGTTGTGGGGCTGGATTAATGAGTTTCTTGATCTTTCTTTATGACTCCTAAAACAGCACAACTAACTCTATAAAGAAATTTATCATTAGTAAATCATTAAAGGCTTCAATTAGAATAAAATGTAAAAAGAATAAACTTAAGAAAAGTAATAAATCAGATTCAGTATCAATAGGCATTATAAGAATAGTAAAAAAATAATAGGCTCCTTCTTAGGAAAAAATAGAATGAGAAATACAGCTGGCTCGAGCTTGCCCCCCTTATTGTCTTGTTCCTAGGGAAGATCATAAATCTTTAGCAGGACATATGGGAGGATGGTTGACAAAGGTGTGTTTAGATTTTGGCAGGCATCTGACTTAGCTCCTGACTTTCCTCTTCATTGGTTAGCAATAATAAAACTGCATTTGAGGTTTCTTTTTCTTTGTTTGCTCTGATCAAAAAGTTTTTAGGCCAAGATTTCTTGTGGGCACTCCCCTATGTTAAAATGTAAACTTTGTATTCTTGATAAAAGTCTAAATGTTCTGGGAAGTATGCCAACTTTAAGGTGCCTTTTTGTAAGATCATTATAAAAATATCAGCTTGACTTCAGTAAAATTGCAGCAGATTCCAAAGCCTCACTGGTCTCTGTCTGTCAATTCATTGCCGAAACCGTGTCTTCCTGTCCAAAGCCTTGTTCTCCCGAGGACGCCAGGAGCCTGACTGGGCCGGTCCATGGCAGATATGATGAAGCATGTTCATAATCCCAGTATTTGGGAAGCTAAGGCAGAAGAGTTGTGAATTTGAGGCTACCCTGGGCTGCTTAATGGCTTTCCTTTAAATAAAACAACAAACAAAAACAAAATCCTTGTAATCCAAGTAGCTGGGTGACAAAGATAAGAAGTTCGGCTATGCGTTTGTGGTTGTCCAGGACTACATAGCAAGACCCTGCCTCAAACAAAGCAAAAAGAAACAAACAAAACAAACCCCAACAACAACAAAAAACCAAACCAACCAGCCAAGTCTGCGAACCCCTAGATTCCCCAAAACAAGCCAACCAAAAGAAAGGGGGGGGAGAAGTTAGAAAGTCTACATTAGATGACAGAAAACATGTACAGAGTTTATTTTTGAAACCACTTTGAGGCTATCACCCAAGAACTAAAGCTATAGAGCAAAACTTCTTGGAGTGTATACAGCTATAATAAAAAACTTTTTCATAACAACCAAGAACCAACTAGTGGCATCCCCATGGCTAACATTACAATTGTTCACCCATAATACCACTTTTCTTCCTAAACTTGAGTTCAAGTGGTCCCTCTCCTTGTATATACATAGACATCATTAACTAGCGAAATTTGATCAGTGGTCTGTGCCCCTTCCAAACTGGGCTTTGAAAGCTCCTAGTTACTCTTCACTTATTTTTCTTTCACAGCTACAGGGAATAATGAATTACTGTGAATCAGGTGTGTAATGTGTCCTCTCCCCCCCCCCCCCCCCGGGCTGGCCTAGAACTCACAGAGATCCAATTGCCGATGCCTCCTGGAGGGTGCTGGGATTAAAGGTGTGTGTCATCACAGTAGTGATCATTATTCTTAGTTTCTACTTGACTACATCTGAAATTAACTAACACCAGAAATGGAGGAAGTCTTACTTAATTTGAAGTGGGGAGATCCACTACTATCCTGCTTTGAGCTAGGAAGACCAACCTCTGGCGTGGGCCACGCCTCCTGCTGGAAGCCTACTTAAGGACATGGAAGAAAAGAAGCTTTCGCTCTTTGCCTGCTTGCTCTTGTGCTGCTAGCAAGCCCACTCCTGCCCTGGCATTAGAGCCTACTTCTTCAGGCTTCCTGCATATACTAGAGACCAGCTGAGACATCCTACCTCGTGGACTGAGCAACTACTGGATTCATAAGCAGCCATTGTTGGGTTAGCTGGACTGCAGCCTGTAAGTAATTCTGATAAATTCCATTTCTCTCTAGAGAGAGATTCATTCTGTGAGTTCTGCTACTCTAGAGGTCCCTGACTAATGCTAGGTGACACAGCTAAGAGATGTCGTCTCTGTCAACCTGGTTCCAAGAGAGACTGGAACAGTGTGTCTGATCCTCATTAAGCACCAAGGATGAGCAGGCAATGAGACTTGGTGTGTTGAAGCTGAAGGTTTTAGAGTTGCTTGTTACTATGTGCTGGAACCTAACCTTTCCTGTTTAATCTAGTCAAGATTGTTTGTGTGTTTGTTTGTTTGTTTGTTTGTTGACAGGGTTTCTCTGTGTAGCCCTGGCTATCTTGGAACTAGCTCTATAGACCAGGCTGGCCTTGAGATCCCAGATCTATCTGCCTCTACCTCTAATCTCTGCTGGGATTAAAGGTGTGACACCGTAGGCTGGCCTCATGCCAAGTTTTGTTGGAGTGAAGAGATAAAATAGATGAAAGAAGTTACACCAATTTGTCAGAACTGTCTATTCAAGGATTTTTAGCCCAAGGTCTAAGTTTTAAAATAGCTTTTTAGAGCGTTCATGTTACAAGTTGTGTCGTCCATAGATTCCAGGAGATCACAGCTCCAGCCACCATGATTGAGGTGGTTTGCAACGACCGTCTAGGGAAGAAAGTCCGAGTGAAGTGCAACACCGATGACACCATCGGGGACTTGAAGAAACTGATAGCGGCCCAAACTGGCACTCGTTGGAATAAGATTGTTCTTAAAAAGTGTAACACGATTTTTAAGGACCATATATCTCTGGGAGATTATGAAATCCACGATGGGATGAACCTGGAGCTTTATTACCAGTAGAGGGGAATTCCTCCACCTTGCCCAACCTTGCTTTCCTCTCCCATGGCTCATGTAACACTGTTATAGATGCTCATTTTTAACAATTCACATGAATAAAAACTTTGATGTTGCTTTTAAAATAAATAAAATAAAATAGCTTTTTAAAATCTAAATATCCCATAAGTTTTCTATTTTTAAAACAATCCTGTGACTCTTTAAATACAATATTAAACTTACTCAAAGTTTCTCTGCTTCCTATAAATGATCACTGTCCCCAACATTAATTGACTTGCTTAATCCAGTCAAACATGATTTCCAACAAAAAAAAAAAAAAACCAAGAACTGCCAAACGATCCTGTACAACAACAGATCGTCTGGAGGTATCTCAATCTGCAAAGCACAGGGGTTTTTATACCTGAAAATCAGACCACTTTTGCTCTATATACATTGATTGGTCAGCAAGAATAGCATGAAGATAGTTTACGGCTAGTTGTTTATGGTTTTTCTGCGAACAGCTCACCCTGCCCTTCAAGAGCTATCTGCACCTGGCTTCAATTCAAATAATCACAGTTGTTTTTCTCATTCCACTTCTGCATCTGAGTTATTAATTTCTCAGCATCTTTCTGTGGTAGAAGGATCTTACCTTTGGAGTCAATCCATGTCCTCAACATCAGTGTCAAATATCCCCCGTTTTTGCCGAATTAGCTTGAAGTCACTTTCTGAGTAGTTTAGTCGTTCTTCTCTGGGTAGCTCAGCGGTCAGTACCACCTGGACAGTTTCCTCTAGCGGCTGACTCTATATGGCATGAGGAGCATAGATGGTGAGGTCCTGGCCCAGAGTCAGTTTGTCTGCATCTTTTACTAGTGTCGCCTCTGCCGCTACTGTTCACAGGCAGGTTGGCCATCCTGCCGCTACTGAATCAAGCTTTTTGGAGAGATAGGCTACCGGTCTCTTCCAGGGTCCAATTTTCCGTGTTAGCACCCCTTTGGCCATTCCCCGATTCTCAGCCACATATTGATGGAAGAGTTTGGTCACATCAGGGAGTCCAGTGCTGGGGCGGACATTAAGGCTTGTTTAATATTATCAAATGCAGTTTGTTCATCCTTTCCCCAGATGAAAGAGTCATTGCCCTTTGTAAGGGCATACAGAGGGGCTGCCATCTCGGCAAATCCCGGAATCCACAGCCGGCAAAACCCCGCTGTACCTAAAAATTCCCTCAGTTGTTTAGTAGTCCGCGGAGGGGAATATGAAATACAATCCCTTTTCTAGCCTCCGACAGCCATCTCTTTCCGTCTCTTAATATGTATCCCAGATAACTGACCTGTTTCCTGCAGAGCTGGGCCTTTTTCGCCGATGCTCTGTAGCCGAGCTCACCCAGCTCTTGCAACAGCCGGTCGGTAGCTTCAAGGCAGGTTTCTTTACAATCTGCAGCTAATAGAATGTCATCCACATATTGGAGAAGAGTTACCTGGGGATTGGTGGCCCGGAAGTGCACCAGGTCCTGGTGTAGGGCTTCATCAAAGATGGTAGGGGAATTTTTAAACCCCTGAGGAAGTCGAGTCCATGTAAGCTGGCCCGAGACCCGAGTCCAGGTCTTTCCATTTGAAAGCGAAAATGTCTTGGCTGGTAGGGTCAAGTTGAAGACAAAAGAATTCGTCCTTAAGGTCCAGGACTGTATACCAAGCCCTGTCAGGAGGAAGGGAACTCAACAGGTTGTACGGGTTGGGCATGGTAGGATGTAAGTCTGTGACCTGTTTGTTAACTTCCCTCAAGTCCTGTACTGGTTGATGGTCTTTGCTTCCAGGCTTTCGAATCGGCCGCAATGGAGTATTCCAGGCTGATTGGCACCTTTTGAGAAGCCCTAGGTCAAGGAGCCACTGTATGTGAGGGCGGATCCCGACACGGGCTTCCTTAGACATCGGATATTGTCGCACTGCGATCGGGGTAGCCTGAGGCTTCGGCTCTATCTGAACTAGGGGCTGTTTCTCTGCTTTTCCTAGGCCAGCCGTTTCAGCCCATACCCTGGGATGTCTCTCTAGCCACCAGTCAATGTCTTTTTCCGGACTTAACCACCTATCAAACAGGCGGTATTCATCTTCCAGTTGAATCGTCAGCACGTGAATGGGATCCCCTTTATTGTCTGTCACCTGTGGGCCATCTGGTCTAAAATGAAGATGGGCCCCTATCTTAGTTAGGATATCTCGCCCTAAGAGCGGGTACGGGCACTCGGGGACAACTAAGAATGAGTGGGATACCCGGCCCACTCCAAGGTCCACCGTTCTTCGGGTAGTCCATGAATATTGTTTAAATCCAGTGGCTCCTTGGACCCACGATTTTTTCTCTTTTTTAGCTCTAAAAGAGAACAGAATGCTGGGCGCCAGTGTCCACCAAGAAGTGGACCGGCTTCCCCTCCACCTTAAGGGTTACCCTGGGCTCGGGGAGGGGTCCGAACCCCGTCCCTCCTAGTCGCTATCATCACCCAGGGTTAGGACCCGGATCTCCAGGGCTCGAGGGTTTGGTTTTTCTGGCTTTTTCTTCCTTTTGAGACAATCCTTGATCCAGTGTCCTTTATCCTTGCAATAGGCACACTGATCCTTAGACAGAGGGCCCCTCCGATTGCCAGGAACTCTCTCCCTATCATTACGACTCTCCTGCACTACGGTGGCCAGGATCTTAGACAACTTTCTGTCCTGCCTCTTATCCCTTTCTCTTTCTCTAGCTTCCTGCTCTTTCTACTTTCTTTCCTCTTTCTCTTCTTCCGTCTCCCAGCTATAGAAAGCCTTTTCTGCTACCTGCACTAAATCCTTCAACGACTTGTCCTGTAAACCCTCTGTTTTCTGGAGCTTTCTACGAATATCTCTGGCTGACTGGTCTATAAAGGTTATAGTCACTATTGCCTTATGCTCATCTGAGGTAGGGTCATAGGGTGTGAACCGGCAGTATGCCTCCATCAGCCATTCAAGAAAGGCTGCGGGAGATTCATCTGGCCCCTGAACCATCTCTCTTACCTTCGTTAAATTGGTGGGCTTTCGAGCAGCCCCACGGAGACCTGCCATTAGAGTCTGGTGGTTCCCTACCTCCGGATGTGTTGTAATCCCAGTTGGGACAGGTGAGGGGAAAGCCATTATCAATCTCATTAGGGAGGATGGAAGGCCTCCTGTCCGTTCTCGGCACATTCTTTCTCACCTCAAGGAGGACCTGTCCAGTTCCTCGGTAGTCAGGAGGGCCTGCAAGAGTTGCTGGCAATCATCCCAGGTGGGTTGGTTGAGAATAGGACAGATTCAAACAAATCAGTTAGAGCTTGGGGATTTTTGGAAAAGGGGGGAGAAGAGCTGGCGAATATAAGGAGGCAGAAGGTCAAAAAGAAGGAGATCTGTATCTGCAGTGGCAAGTATCTTCTTCTCCTCCTTGACCACACAGATGGCTATCGGAGAAGTCCCTGTGAGAAGAATAAAGGGGCGCAACCAAGGAGGTGGGTGATGAACTAGATCCTCCCAAGTCAGAATATAGGGAACCTGATCAGGTTGGCCTCCTGGGGTCTGGAGGGTCTTGACATCAAGGTGAAAGATGCCCTCCGGTGGCCATCCAACCTGAAAAGTAGGCCACTCTGAGGAGCAGAAAGTTTGCCATTTTCCCTTTTTAACTTCAACTGAAAGGTTATGTGCCCTATATCTCACCTCGGAGAAATGATCAAGGGTGAGGGATAAGGGTGTAGTCACGGTCTGTCCCATAATAAAGTCATCTGTCAAGAAAGTAAAAAAGGCAACAACAATAGAGACGAAGAGAACAAGACAGGCAATTAGACAAGGACGCCCTTGCAGGTGGTACCACAGAATTCTGATTGCGAGGCTGCCTCACAACGGCTGTCTCCTTCGAGAAACAGATGGGAGGAGGACTGTCCCGGACCAAGCCTCCTCAAATGGAATCTGGAGCATCCTCTAGTTCCCAGTCAAGCGATATTCTGACATATCTGTCTATCTCAACAACTGACCAGACCACCGAAAAGGTCCAGATAGGTGCCTAAACAGAAACAGAGTGGTAAAATAGAGACAAGCATAACAGAAATCAGACTAACTTATTCTGAGCTGGACCTCTGAGCCCAGTCTGTTGAGGGTTGGGGAAGGGACATGCCAGTTCCCAGCCAAACGCACCAAAATGTAAGACCTGGAGTCTCACAGCTCAGGAGCTCAGGATTGCACCCTTCCCAGGAACACTCACAGACCACAACTCGATGCAAAAGCAAGAGGTTTATTCCAATCACGATGAGGTCACCCCTCCGAAGACAGGAGACAACCCCAAACATGCAAAGCACAGGGTTTTTATCTCAAGCTGTACTACAGAGCTGTAGTAATAAAAACTGCATGGCACTGCGATAGAAACAGAATGGTGGGCCAATGGAATCAAATAAAAGACCCAGAAATAAACCCACACACCTATGGATACTTAACTTTTAACAAAGAAGCCAAAACCATTCAATGGAAAAAAGACAGCATCTTCAATAAATGGTGCTGGTCTAACTGGATGCCTACATGTAGAAAAATGCAAATAGATCCATACTTATCACCGCGCACAAAACTAAAATCCAAGTGGATCAAAGACCTTAACATAAAACCAGTCATGATAAACCTGTCAGAAGAAAAAGTGGGGAAGAGCCTTGCACTCATTGGCACAAGAGACAACTTCCTGAACAGAACACCAACAGCACAGGCTCTTAGATCAACAATCAATAAATGGGACCTCATGAAACTGAAAAACTTTTATAAAGCAAAGGACACTGTCATCAGAACAAAATGACAGCCTACAGACTGGAAAAGGATCTTCACCAACCCTATATCTGACAGAAGGCTAATATCCAGAACATATAAAGAACTCAAGAAGTTAAAAAGCAACCAATCAAATAATCCAATTAAAAAATGGGATACAGAGCTAAACAGAGAATTCTCTGTAGAGAAATATAGAATGGCAGAGAAACACTTAAAGAAATAATCAATGTCCTTAGTCATCAGGGAAATGCAAATCAAAATGACCCTGAGATTTTACCTTACACCCATCAGAATGGCTAAAATAAAAAACTCAAGTGACAACACATGCTGGAGAGGTTGTGGAGAAAGGGGAACCCTCCTCCATTGCT